GGTTTGAATCTTCCACCTGAAAACTATAGATTATGCACAATTAGTTTTCAGTGCCCTCTGTTTTATGTATATTCTTACTGAACAGCATGATTTAACCCTCGATATAAATAAAATAAATAATAAAATAAAAATTATGCACAATTAGTTTTAAGTGCCCTCTATTTTATGTCTATTCTTATTGAACAGCATGATTTAACCCTGTTTCTCTAATAAGAAGCCAAATTTCAGTTGAGTATCAGAAAAAACTTCCTAACTGCTAGAGCAGTACAACAATGGAACCAATTACCTCAGGAGCTGATGAGCACTTCAATGCTGGAGGCTTTCAAGAGAAAATTAAGCAACTATCTGTCAAATATACTTTGATTTGGATTCCTGCATTGAACAAAGCATTGGACTCAGCGACCTTATAGGCTCCTTTCAACTCCATTATTCTATGATTCTCACCTAAGCCATGGATGCACTAGATCAGTTCTAGCAAGTTATTATTCATTCTTCCTTTCATTTACAGTAAATTTCAACTATGGTAGTCTATTTAAATCCATTTCAATTGGATTTCCAGGTTTTAACCAAGACTATGTTGGTTGCCTTAGTTGAACACCTGTTCTGATAAAAAGAATGAGAGACAGGTACAGAGACTGAGAGATGAGAGAAATATGACCTTGGAGATTCTCCTGGATCTCTCTTTGTCATTTGCAAGTATCATCAGCATTGGTAAATCTCTGGGATTATCCTCTGTGGTATTTTACTGTTTCCTAGGTAAAAGAAGGTGGACCAGCTATAGTCCTAGGCTGTGTGGAGGAGTTATTAGTGTATCCTGCAGGAACTGTCTTGTTGCTTTCTATAAGGTTTGGTTTAGTCCCCAATTATTTTTACAGTATTATGAAACTACTAAAGGTGAAGGTTGTCCATTCGGGGTTGCAGATTAATAACTCCGGTGATGATATCCACTTTATTTCTCATTCCATAAAATTCAATAGGGACATTTCCTTCCCTGAATAGGAATAGATACCTGTAGTGGACTGGATAAGGGTGAATGAACAGACCTTCAATAGAGATGAAATGGAGCTGGTGATGACAGGGAAACAGGGATTTAGGTGGAGAAATCCTTGGTGTAATCATACCATATTTTCAAGAAATCAGGAGAAAAGGTTGTCCCAGGGCTATCAGAATGCCAGGTATAACCTAGAGTACCTTTCAGCAACAGCCAACTGGTTTGAAAGCTGTGCCCATTATGAAAACCTAGCTATTTTCATGCCTTTATGACTTCCAGCGTAGACTGCTACGATGCACTATATCAATTGCAGGTAACGTGTAGTCCCCTAGATGCCGTTGGACTGTAATTCCCAGCATTCTGGACAGCCTGTAGTTTGCCCATCCCTGCTTTATATAGTGGACTGCCCTCGAAGCCAGTTTTAAATTATAGCTGTTATAAAGTGCAGACACCTACTGTAGGTCTTTACAGGTGAGCATGGCACTGAGAAAATCTGTATTGTTTGCAAGGTTGTTCTGAGGCCAAGTTCAAACTACTGGTTTTAAACTTAATACTTGCTCCCGTATCAAAGGGAGTCCTATGGGATTCTACCTACAACCACAAGACCTCTCAGTGATGGCTTCCTCCAGATTCTCTTTTCCAGGGACCTAAGCTGGTGCAACATCATAAGAAGGACCTTTTCAGGGAAGCCCCTGGATTTATGTGTTCTCTTCAGAGCTCTGAAGTTCTCCCCACCATGTTTTTTAAAGAGTTCTTCCTTGGTCTTTTTTAGAATACAATTATTATTGTTCCAAGATACTCTTGGGAATTAGAGAGAAATTTTTTAAAAAAATTCAAGTCATTTAAAGTGTAGTTTTGCTGTCTTTTAATTTGATGCATTTAAGTCTTATAGTTTTAGGAGTTTTCCCCCCAAGATACCTTGTGAAAATCCCTGTTGAAAGCTGGCCTAGAAGCAGTATAAGTAAATAGGTTAACAGAAGAAAATAAAATGTGATTCTCGTATAGATTCTAATATCTTCACCCACACTGATTTTGACTCTTATTTAATTGTTGGTTTTATTTTTTTTAACGTTATTATTGTTGCTATTTACACACGCGCACACACACACACACACATGTATAGTGTATATTGTATTTTCCATAGTTTAGAAAAGCTAAGAATGAGCGGGTGGGTCTACAAACCAGCCATGCCCTGGCTAGACATACATTCCAATTGAGTTCATTGTGTTCACACTTAACCTATTGAATTAAAGCTAGCCCTTGCTTACAGACAGGTTCACAGGTACCTAAATCTACATCTTAGCACGTCAAGATTTGGTAAAACATGCACACACAACTCAAGAAGATCTAGCCCTGCCTTCCAAAGCAACTATCCCTGCGTCAAGCAGGATTACTCTTAATAGGATTTCCTGCTGGGAGGCTTTTTCCATGTCTATTGCAAGACCTGCACAGTATCTACTCATAGAAGAATATGGACCTCATGCGTCACCTATTTCTCCTCCTTTTCCTTCTTTTGCTCTATGGGACAAATCTGGCAATTTCATCTTGTGTCACAGGATGCTCCTGTGCTGATGATAACTTTGGAAGGTAAGAATATTGAAATATCACAGAAACAGTGCTTGTAGAGGTGTATGGTTCTGGTTATGTTAGTAAATAGCATCATATGGGGGAAATGGTGACAATACATACAGTCCAGCAAGGTGAGATATGAAATACATGAGGACATATGTTAAGTCATAAACATGATGTCAATTTTATGTAGGTGTATCTACATATGCATAGCAGGAAACAGAGTATAGTAAAATTATGTACTTGACACAGGTTGGAGTGAACAGATACAATATGCCTATTTATTTTGAATATGCAAATGATTCAGCAGCATGTTCCATTCTATCATTTTCAATCAGATGTAGTGGCTAGTAACTTGTTAATAGCTAGATGTTGCCAAATATTTTCAGAATTTAATTTTTTTCCTTCTATGTGATTTTAAACATATTTTTAGTATTAGGGAATGGATAGTTTTCTGTAATATTCTGAGTTTGAGGTATTACACTTGTAGCCACTCTAAGGTATTTTTCTATGAGTTTTATGACCAGAAAGATAAAAATTTATCAAATTTATTGTTACAATGCCTATAAAAAAAAGGAAATTCCATACTGAACTCATTGTAGGTCACTATCCATTCAATCAATTAAAGCCGAATGGGCGAGGTATCAAAACAGTATGCTAACTTTGCTGATTTATATTCCAGGAGCTTGCTTTGCATGTCTACTTCTTTGAGAAAGATCCCAGAAGGCATCCCTCAAGATATAAAAAAAATTAGAATAGAAAACTCTCACCTAACAGAATTGCCTCGTGGGTCATTCTCTAATGTCAGTGCCTTGGAATATCTCTGGCTGAATTTTAACAACATCACAGTCATGCATCTAAAAAGCCTCGAATACCTGAAGGATTTGACTGAGCTGAGATTGCAAGGGAACAAACTGAGTTCAGTACCATGGACAGCATTTCAAGACACTCCCGCTTTGGAAATCCTGGATCTAAAACACAACAGGCTTGACGTCCTTCCGGAACATGCCCTGCGCTATTTGCCAAACCTGACCTACTTAGACTTATCTTCCAATCAGCTTACCGTCATCTCAAAGGATGTTTTCTATAACTGGCCTGTGTACCAAAAAACCCAGCAGCTGGAAAGGAAGGGGGAAGCTATTTCCAATGCTGTCTTGGCCTTGCATGATAACCCATGGATATGTGACTGTCGCCTGCGAGGCTTCGTCCAGTTTATCAAATCAATTGGCCCACCCATCATTCTAATGAATTCCTATCTTACATGTGCGAGTCCCAAATTGAGGGCAGGGAAGTACTTCCATGAAGTGGAGCTGAAGAGCTGTATGAAGCCCCTGGTATCATCCCTGGAGCCAAATGTGACTGTTTTGGTGGGGCTCAACACAACCTTGACCTGTTTGGTGCAAGCCAACCCTCCCCCAGTTGTCTGGTGGGCCTACATGCTCAAACACCTGCGAGGTTTTAATGGTAAGCACAATTCCATGGCACGTTATTGAGTGACAGGGAATGGTCCCTCTTTATAGATTTAAAGGTTGTCCACCAGCCACCCTGCCCTTTTTCTGTCTTTTGAACATCTAATTAGATCCTTGTCTATATGGCAGTTAAGCTCATTTAGTCCATTGAGTTCAATAGACTAAACCTTTTTGTTTCTTACATTAAACTCCCACATTTGATCTAATGTGCTCAGGACAGCATATATTGCAGCTGTAATACAACAGGACATTAAATAGTTAACAATTTGTTGCCTTTTTGTGATGCCTGAAATGTGCCTGAGGAAGCCACCGCATCCAACTTAAGATAGCGCTGGCCTTGCTCAACCATACGGCAGCAGAGCAACAGACTGAGAAATTGTACTGCACATGAGTAGGTATGCTGCACAATCGAGATTTTTTTAAATCCCGCATTTCACAACTTGCTGAAGATGGTTTTCTGCAGCATATAATGCTCCTGCAATTGAAAGATAGTCTGTCAGTTCTCAATCTGGTGACTTAGAGAGAGGAACATTAGGCATATGAAAAAAGCTCCATCTTGACCATGTTGCATCTCTCGGTAACCCATCTCCATCTTTGCACCCCTCCCTTTATTCCCATTGAGTTGTGAGGCTTCCCATTGAGTTGTGAGCCCGAAAAACCCAGAACAACCATTGTGAGGCTTTGTTTTTCTTTTCTACAAGGACATTATACATATTCAGCAAGCATTTTCTCAAAATGTATACACTTGCACACTTAGCCTAATGTACAAAGTTTGTGTACCTTTTCCCCATTACCTAAAGCATGATTGGTCATGCAGTTTTGAACCGTATGCATTTTAACTGTTTGCATTTTACACCTGTGCATGTTGGTTTCAATGTGCAAATGAATCTCTGGCTTAACAAATGTGTGTATTTCTGACGGAAGGGGTGGATGCTCTTGGAACGAGTCTCAGGAGATGCAAAATGGGTAATGTGTCTGAGAATCTTGAAACCACCAACATTCTTTTCTATCTCTAGGCAACATTTCTGTTCCTAAGGAACATTTGAAAAGCCAAACACATGTTTTACATTGTGGCTAGGACTGATGGGAACTGCAGTCTACGCGGATTCCATGGTTCTACCTGCTCACTTCATTTGTGAGAACTGCCTGGATGAACAACTGATATACACAGTCGTGAAAAATGACCGGGCAAAATCCTGTTGTCTAAAGTTATGCCTCTCAAACCAGAATTAGCATAGGAAATCATTAATTACTACCCTCCCCCAACTTTCAGGTTCCAAAGTTTCCTAAGGCCCCATTTTGTTCTGGAGAAGCCTTTGAGAGCCTTTTTAATAGTTAAAAATTGCCAGCAGGCCACTGTTGCTAGGAATGCTGCCAGTCATCCAGCAGCTATATTTGATTATTAAAAGCTTCCCCCTCCACAATCTCAAGGTTCTTGAAGGCTCCTTCAGGGTAAAATGTAGCCCTAAGGAGCCTTGGAACCTAAAGGGAGAAATAGGAACCTTTTGGTTAATTTTATGCCAGATCCATAAAGTCATGCAGGATTTTGGCCAAAGAGTTGAAACAACTGGGTCTAAACATCCTAAGCATTCTCTGGCCACTGAGTATAATCCAGCCAATATTAGCTCTGACTAAACCCAACTGAAATCAGTGAGATCTAGCTTAATTACCATTAAGGCTGTTTCCAATGTTTCCAGTTAGAACCTTGTCCATTTTTGTGACTACCTTTTGTTAGGCTGTGCCCCAATCTTTAAAATATTATTGACAGTAGACTTTTTACATGCTGCCCCATACTATCAAATTGTTGTCATTGCATATCTTCAAACTGAGGATAAAGTAGACACTGAAGGCAACAAAATTAAGAATGAAATACAATTTTGCAGCCTTACTACCTTGGCTAAATTGCTTATAACTTTCTTGAACAAATTCCTTCAGGACTCACATTTTCTTTGACTGGCCTCAGCCCTCTAGTAAATTGTTCTGGACACTTGAAAACAAATTGGTTCAGTCAGTTTCAGAGTTATCTTCAGAGCAACACACACACACACACACACACACACACACACAGAAGGAGAACAGAAATGTGTAAACTCAGTAAATATAGAGCAATATACTTTCCCATCGGTCTAGCAATTTTCTTGCTGTTCACCTGAATGGCTGCAGCTAGAACAATAACTTTGATTTCATTCACACACCTTAGCAAAGGTGGGAAATGGGCAGCCCTGCAAATGTTGTCCTACATCAAATGTTACCACCATAGCAAATGGTGAAGGGTGAGCGCTTCAAGTGCCTACAACATCTGGAGGAGATTCCTGGCTCTGATTTTTCACACAGAAAAAAAGAGGAAAGTCTTGATTTGCTGTAGTACATCAGTCTTAACTGGAGCAATTGCCAATCCATATGAATGATTGCTGCTCTCCTGACTTCAAAATCCTGATTAGTAGGGAACACTTTTGACTCATCATTTTAAAGAAGAGATACTAAATGTTATCACTATCTCCCTGCCTCTCCCAGTTTTGGTCAAATCAGTTAGCATTTCCATGAGTATCGGACAAATCTGTGCTCTTTACAATGATCTTTCTTTGGCTTCCACAGAACACTGGGTAGAGGATTGTATCCCTCAATATGTTACTTGATTGTATCTTCTGCCTGACACACACACTATAGTCAGTGGTGAAAGACAGTGAGAGAAGCAGACTAGCAACATCTAAGGATTACCCTAGGATTATAACATGGGGAGTACAAATGGTTTAATTCCCATGATCACCAGATGATCACATGTACTAGATAAGTATAGGAATATGTTGATGCCTCCTTTAGCTTGTTTGGATAGCACTCTTCCTATCATCATTTCATTCATTAGTATGTAATATGGTGCGGCTGATTGATAATGGAAAGGACCCATTCAGCTTTACATTCTCAGATTTTACAGAAATCTCTTGTAAGAACTTGTATTAATGAGTGACCTGAAATCAATTCACATTTAAAATTAACTATTTCTGCACATTCCCCTATTCACTTGATTTGTAACACAGGAGATCTACATTGGTGTCAGGAGAGTGTACATCACCTATTTCCTCAACACCCAAATATTAAAGTCAAATAGAATTGAATACATGGAAACATAAGCAGTATAAGCTATGAGTGCTAGCATTGTTCTAGAAATATATAGGCATACCTGCATGACTCATAATCCTTAGGGTCCAGCAGTATTTGCCTGATGAGATGTTTTGTTTCTTTTCACAGTATTACACAACGAAAAGAACTTTGAATAAATTCATTAGAATGAAATAATGGAAGAAAACTTCTGGATTTATATTCTGATTAATGAATTTTTAACACGTATAAGTTCCCGGTTTTTTGACAAGTGACAGTTTAAAACTGACACCAAACACTCCCTAAACGGAAACTGAAAATATTCTTGTTAAGTTCTTTCTCAGGCAAAACCATCTGATGTGACCATGTGAGAAATGGCAAAATAATTGAGGACCTTTTGTGAAGGGAGCTGATGTTCTACCCTGTTTTCCCGAAAATAAGACCTAACCTGAAAATAAGCCCTAGTATGATTTTTCAGGATGCTCGTAATATAAGCCCTACTCCAAAAATAAGCCCTAGTTAATTGAAACCCCACCCTCCACCATTGTGCAGCAACCAGAAGAAGATGACACAATTGTATTTGAAGAAATCTAGATGGTTGTACATGAAAAAAATAAAACACCCCTGAAAATAAGCCCTAATGCATTTTTTGGAGCAGAAATTAATATAAGATCCTGTCTTATTTTCGGGAAAACACGGTAGTGAGTTTCTGCTGAATGGAAAGCCTCACCAGTATGATAATGCAGGATTGTAGCACTTCCATAACCATGACTTTTGCACAAGTGGTGAGCTTCATGAAGGAAAACTGTCCTCTGCATATGCAAAGGAAATGCTTGTTCAAGTGGCAGGATCCCACCTCATGATGCTGGTGGGATTTTCCATTTAGTGGAAGCTCAGTAGGGTACTGGACTATGCTTATAATGTTAACAATATTCGAATAACTGGACTGGATGAGACTAAAGACCTGCTTGTCCCAAAGGCCCTCCAGTTGTCTAGGGGAAACCCATGAAAAGGACTTCAGCAACAATAGCACTCATATTCCCCAGCAGCAGATAACCAAAGCAATGGTGCCTCTGATATAAGCTACTAACCCTTAGTAGCCTTTTTCTCAAGCAAGTTGTTTAATTCATCTGGAAAGCTGTCCAAGTTGGCAATCATTACAATGTTTTGTAGTAATGAATGCTAAAACTTAACTGCCTGCGCTGCAAAGCAAGTGACTCTCCTATTTCCATTGGGAGATTTCTGCTTTGGCAAAACACTTGAGGAATTTCTAGGAAAGTTTAAATTGTACCATGAAACTTAGAATTTCTTTGGGGGGGGTGTAGGGTTGAGATAAACATCCATATCAGATAGATAGATAGATAGATAGATAGATAGATAGATAGATAGATAGATAGATAGATAGATAGATAGATAGATAGATAGATAGATAGATAGATTGATTGATTGATTGATTGATTGATTGATTCTCCATGATTTGGACAGCATTATTTTAAAATAACAGCAGTGTTCTGTAGTGTTTGGTTGTTTTATTTTCTTTATATTGCATTACTTTGTGATTTATATGTACACTGCCCAGAATAGTGCAGAGCACATATGGGGCAGTAAATAAATAAATAACCCAATATTATAGCATATTGAGAGTGTCGCTGATGCTGAGAGTAGAATTTAACATGTTTGCCTTGGGTCTGTTTTCCCCCCATCCCAGTGTCCACCACCCATACCAGTGAAGATTCAATCAAGTCAGAATTGGTGATACCTTCAGCCCATCTTGTGGATGATGGCAATTATACCTGCATAGCTGCCAACTACCTTGGCAACACATCAGCCACAATAGTCCTGAGAGTCCAAGCACCCCGAATGGTGTCTTCTTCATTCTCTTCCTCCATCTCAGATGAGAACGCATACATTGATGTGAGGATCGCCAAACAGACGGTTTATGGTATTACTCTAGAATGGTATAGCATGACTGAGAATCCTGGGGAAACATGGTATACTCTCCATTTTGGAAAGTATGATGATGCCAAGAAAGACATGATTTACATTGGACCTGGCATCAACAGCTACTCCGTCAACGACTTGCTCCCTGCCACAAAGTATGAAGTCTGTGTTACTCTGAGGAACCAAACACCTCAAAAGGGGCAATGCATTGTGTTTGTGACAGGAAGTGATGTCAGTGAACTGGAGCAACGGGAGAAGCTTGTCCACATCATTATCATTGTGTGCGCCATGGTGCTGGCTGTCCCTGCTGGGATGTATGCCTGCACCACCGAGACCAGGTTCAATTGTATGGAGAAATGCACCAACATTTGCCGCAAGAACAGGAAAGGGCAAAATCTGAAAGGAGCCAATAAAGAAAGCACGTTTGACAGCTTGCCAACCGGCAGCGAGGAGGGGTTGTGTCGCCGGGACTCCAGTGATGACAAGAGAAAGCTGAAGTCCTGTGAGGACAAGGAAAAACCCAACAAGCAGAAACCTGAGCACAGAAATAGTGCTGATCTCTATTAGCCAACGTCCAAGCACAATCCCATGTTAGATAAGAAAGCAGTAAATATAGGAAGACTGTCAGAGATATCTGATAGATGTGTACACTAGGGCTTTCTGTTACCTCAGAATCAGCATGCGGCAAGCAAATGCAACTGAACATTGTTTCTAAAACGTTATTGAACCATCAACGCCTACCCACTGGGCAGAGTTGCTGATGGCCAAAGGATGTAATAGTTAGTAGTCACAGTTCCAATGGCATCACCACATCTTTTTCAGGCCTATAGGAATTTATGATTTTTAAAGCATGGAAAGGTGGATGTGTTGCTTATAGAACCATCAGGCAAGTTGGAGTATACGTATGTGCCCAGAAGACTTTATAGAAAGATTCCACCCTTAAAATAGATTACCAGAATGTTTGGGGACTTTGGGGGCATCCCTTGTCCATTTTGTAATTGTTACCTTTGGTTGACTGTCTGAGACATTTTAGTAACATGGTCCAAAATTGCTTGCCACAGCTGCAACAGGCAAGAGAAATTTGGTCAGCTGCATTTAAAGCTAGCAAAATATGGGGATGTTTTGTACCAGTCTAGTTCATACTAAATGCAGCAACATGTAAGACTGAGGCACGAAAAGGAAGAAAAACATGGAGAATCCTTTCAAATCATTGTTGGGCTTGGAAAAGAGAAGAGTTCATCACACCGACCTCAATTCAAGGCTAGTCACCTGCAACCACTAATGGTGCTGGGAGGAGAAGGCCTTCTTAATTAGTATCAGAAGAGACAGCTATAAATTTTGGTAGGACTTCCTGAATTCTTGGGGTGTACGTAGAGCAACTCCAGCTCCACATGATGAACTTTCACTCTCAATCTGAGCATTACTTTTTCTGACTACAACTTCCAGACTCCTCCAAGTAGGATTGCTGATTGGGGCATTCTAGGACTGGTGGTCCTAAAAAGTAGCATTCTTAGGTATTACTTCTGTTCCCAACTTCTAAGGAGAAAACATAACATGATGGAGAATGGCTAGCAGTCATACTGACTAAGCTGTGCTCACAGGTAAAAAAGCTGTGAATACTAGTTGGTCAGCATAGACAGAGAGGTGTGGCACCATCTTGTCATGCAGATACACTTCCCTCTGCCAGGCCCCTGTTTGAAATAGGCTGGTGGGCTAGATCAGGAGTTGCCAATTGTGGTCAGCCAGATAATTTTGGACTGCTATTGCTACAATCCCACACTTTGGCCATGCTGCCAACTGCTGATGGGACTTGTAGGCTCCAAAATATTAGAAGGGTCAGAGGTGTGTCATTTGAGCTAGATGGTCTCATTGGTTAATCTAGCAATGCTCTTTCTACATTCTTAGCCATCTTTCTTTATGGTTTTAGTCAACCATTTTAATTAGACATGTTTGTTTTTGTCATTCTTGTGAGCTCAACTCTATTAGTTGCACAAGCCATACAGAAAGGCGATATCAATTTAGGTAAAGGCCGGCGGAGAAGGCAGAGATGATACTAAAGCCTTTAGAAAATGTAATATACAAACAAGATAGTCTGATGCTAAATGAAACTATGGTTGGAATCCTCTTGGTGTTTGCATAAGGTATGCTAATTGCAACTAATTGATGAGGTGCCTGGCTAACTCTCAGTTGTATTGTTAGACATATGAAAATGACAAAAGGGACTGGTACATTCACTGAAATATTAGTCCAAAAAAGGGGAATATAAATATAAATAAGTAAATTTTGTATCCATAATTCTATAGATAAGTGAATTTATTTATGTGATGTTGTTCTCAGCAAGTTATAATGGTGTAATTGTAATTTTTAAAATGTTACATAGCCCTTGAAGAAGGTTGATAAATTGAAATGCATCAGGTATTTTATACTGGGACTACAGTTTAGCCTTTTGTTTACCTACTAGTGGACGTATGACCAATCACATGATAGAGATGTGCTCCAGCATCTCATCAATTAACTGTGGCAGGATACACAGAGCTTATGTGGAAATCAATAGGATTCTGACCTATATATAGTTTTCTCTTTCCTTTCCTTATTGCTGTTGAGAAAGAAATATACAGTATGTGTACATGTGCTCACATGCATACAATATATGCATTGTTCACGCCCACATACCAGCACTTCCACATATCCTATCTATGCTCAGGAGGGTTCTTCATTCTACATACACACCATGATCCAACCCACCAATGGCTCTTGGTTTGAATGTAGGATCCCTTCTCTTCATCATTTACAGGCAGGTTGCCCACTAGCTTGGATTATGGGACTCCACTACCAACATCAATGAAGGAAAGAAGCTTGGCCCACAGTCTATTCCTCTGTATGGAGAAAGGCAGGCTTGGAGGGAAGATTTCTTGTTTAGCACAAGGAAGAGTAAAACACTCTTCTCCCTACAACATTTCCCAACAAATTCACATCCCTCCTCTACCATCAAGTTGCCCTGAAGTTAATACATGAACGAATGAATAAATACTTCAAGAAATGCAACACAGATCTCCAGTATTACACCCCGTTTCTCCTTTAAAACAGCTGGATAACTGGAGAGTGTGGTCTTGTGTTGCTGTCATCCCAGCCACTTTAGCCTGTTGCAACAAAGACAAAGAATCATGAGGTGCCTTAAAGACTAACAGGTCTTAGCTGGCATAACCATTTGTGGGCTGCAACCTACTTCACTGCATGATCTAATGAAATAGCCTGTCGTCCATGAAGGCATATGCCAAATAAAACTTGGTAGACTTTTAAGGTGTTACTGGTTACTTTGTTGTGGTTTCTAGACAATCCTTTGTTCTCCGAGTGTACGAAGAAATGCAAACACAAATAAAAATAAATCAAAAGGCAGTAAGAAAAAGAAAGCAAGCTTTTTTTCTCCTTGTCTGTAGGATTTATTCATCATTCTTCTACATAAAACACCCAAAGCAATTTGCAATTTTTAAAAAGCCAATTAAAAAACTAATTAGAAAGCTGCTAACATTAAACAAACCTCAGCAACAGAACAGGCAACAGAAGAGAAGAAAGTTGAAAACATGACATTTCTTCACCATGATGACTGTAGAAGCTCCTGGCTTTTGAGTTTGCTTTGCATGTGCACACACATACACACACTCCCTTTATGTGGTTGTTTCTTTATTCAGACCAGAGTGTTGTGCAATTTAAAATTATGGATGTATATGAAATATAGGAAATAATTTAAAAGCAAATTAAAATGTTAGAGATTATTATCATTTGTGACCCTTAAAGTATAAATTTTTCTCATCAGCAAGTTTGCAGGGCAACGTTTCTGGAAGTGGAAGAACGGCCAGCTGTGTGCCATTGGCAAGGGGATGTCCAAGTGTACTTGTGATGCTTCTTGCTCTTTGATGAGTGAATTGTCCCCTCTATGTGATTTATGTGGCATAATTTATTTGATTAAAGACAGTTGTGTACCTTCATGCCATAGAACTGCACATATATTGAATGTAGTCTTAGACGAAAGGTTGACATTCTCATCAATATCCTATCACTGGACTCTTGAACTTTCTAGAAATATTGCTTGCTTTAGCAAGTGGTTTTGCAACCCATGCATTCTGAAAGGTGTTCAGGGCACTGTGAATGAGGTTTTCCCTGCAGCAGTTCAAGTGAGGTAGGTTAAGCTGAGAGATACTCACCAAACGTCCAGTGGCACTCAGTAAGCGTCACCCCCACAACAGGGCTTCCTGGCCAAATGTAGCACTATAATACAGAACTGTACTATACCACATTAATAACCTTGGTAAGATTTCTATTTCAGAGCTTCTGTCCAAAGTGGGTAACCCAAGGGCTTTCCTTGATCATGTAGCAACACCCATTTCAGACATTATTGTCCTTCTTGATCCCTAAAAATGGCAATTTCATCAGACTTTACCTTTTAAGTATCAAAATTATGTGTAATAGTGGAAAGTTCTTGTTAGCTGTAAGCCAATCCTTGAAAATTAAACACATAATTTTCCAAATGTCCCTGTGCTTATTTTCTGTTGTGACATGTTTATTTGTTTTACACATACATCTGGAGGGCAACATGGGAATGCATTTATTAAAAACATTCTGCAGGAAATGAAAATGTTCAGACCTTAATGCTTTGAGGAGACAGAAGAAATTTATTGGTGAGTGGCAGCTGGGTTAAGGTCATAGCTCAGTAAGTTCAGATACTACATGCAGTGGATTGGTCCAAGGCACTGTGCTTCCTGACGCAGATCAGCAAAACATACCTCCAGTCTGCTACAGTCAGGATCAGGGGGGAAAAATTCTCAAAAATTCTTGCTTCCTGACGCAGATCAGCAAAACATACCTCCAGTCTCTACAGTCAGGATCAGGGGAAAAAAATTCTCAAAGGCTTTCATGGCTGGGATCTAATGGTTGTTGTACATTTTTCAGCCTGTTTGGCTATGCGCAGATCAGCAAAACATACCTCCAGTCTCTACAGTCAGGATCAGGGGAAAAAAATTCTCAAAGGCTTTCATGGCTGGGATCTAATGGTTGTTGTACATTTTTCAGCCTGTTTGGCTATGCTTTCATGGCCATGATCTAATGGTTGTTGTAGATTTTTCAGCCTGTTTGGCCATGCTCTTCAGAACACAGCCAAACAGCCCGAAAAACTACAACATCCAAAGGAAAAAAAAATTTTTTCTTCATGATGGCTTCACAATTTAATGGCTTTATAACAGCCCGAAAAACCTACAACATCCAAAGGAAAATTTTTTTTTTTCTTCATGATGGCTCCACAATTTAATGGCTTTACTGCCTGAAAAATGGTAATATGAAGAGGAAAGTGGAATGGTATAAAAGAATGCATAGATATTAACACTGCAGGGGAATGATTAATTTTAATTTTAAAAGAAGCATTTACTGGAAAATCAAATGTATCCAGTGGAAACAATACTACTGATGAAAAATCATGAGCGCTGGTCTGACTTGGCATGTATTTGAAGGCGAACTTTGGCCTCCATGTGACATTGACACATCAGCATAGGGATTTTTCTTTGACAGTTCCAGAGACTCTGATCCAATTGGTCCTAGAAATCACTTCAGTCTGAATTTGTGA